GGCGCAGGCGGGGGGCGCGGAGTCGTGCGTTCAGCCCGCGCGGGGCCGGGGGTTTGGGAACCGGGGGTCGCGCCGCCCGCTGCCCGCAGCGCAGTCCGGGCCGCAGCCTCGAGCTCTCCGCCCTGTTTCTACACCCGTCTGGGTTCCTGTCCCGTCGCCTGCGTCCCCTCCCCGAGCTCAGGGTGGTGAGGTCAGCGGCGCCCTTCCTGCCGGTCCCCTCGGCGGCCGCCCGGGCGGGGAACTTGGCCGCCCTGCCGTGTCGGGCTCCCGGGAAGGACGGCCTGGCCCCCAGGGCTGCCAGAGGTTGGAGGCGGAGGCCGGGGGCATCGGGCAGGCCCTGAGGGGCCGCTTAATGTTAGTGAGGTCCACCTTTCTCTCTCCAAAGGGCCTGGCGTCTGTGGCCTTGGCCCAGCAGGGTCCAGCTTGGTGCCCATTAAGACGGGCTGTTGGGTGAGAAAGTTTTTTCCCTCCAGACATCCCTTTCAAACCGCGGTTATTTTTCCTCAGCAGCTGCGGAGACCTGTGGTAACTAGTTAACTAATTCAACAAACGGACCCGTCTGTGTGTCAAAAACTGCAAGGAATTGCTAGCCCAGTGGGGCAGACAGACTGGAAGACCGGGAAAGTCCAGGCCCAGGGCAGTGTGGTGAGTGATGTGCTGCGAGGGAGCCCTGGGCTGTGGATACTTGGTAGAGGACAGCATGCTTCAGGCCAGAGAGTTTTCTGGAGAAGGTAACCCATGAGCTGGAGTGGTCAGATGAAGGCTGGATAAAGGGTAACCCAGACAGAGGCACAGCCTGTGTGAATGAGAGCAGACCTGGGCACTCTAGTGGAAGCCAGGTGATGGGGGAAGGGACACTTCAGGGGATAGTTGCTAGTGGACCTGTCCACAAGAGCTTCAGTTGAGAGGACGATGCCTGGTACTGTGCTCTGCATGTGGAGGGTGCTCAGTGAACCCTTGCAGCATGAGTGTGGATCAGGGTACTTCCTACTTCCAGACAGCGTAGGTGGGCCCCTGGCCTCTGTATTCTAATCTGACACCTTTAAGATGGTGTAGAAGAACATTAGAGGCCCTTCCAAGACTGAGACTAGTCTTAAGAGCCTTCCACTGAAGAGTGCTTCTAGATGTAAACCACCTGAGGCCTGACAGCCTCAGCCCTCTTGCAGGAGATCCTGGCTCTGAGAGCAAGGGGTGGGGGACATCACTTTGTAGTTTAGGGCATTCTCAGATGTCCCAGATTTTGTAGAGATCCACTGTCCACCTGAGAGTTTATAGAATGTTTTTGCAGGCTGCTGCCTCTTCTCAGCCTGTATCACATCTGGGACAACAGGTTCCATGATTTAGTTCTCTGTTAAATAAACCAAGATTTCGTTTGGCTTGTGCTTAAACTGCCCCTGAAGTGTCTGGGGTATAGTCTCTCACTGCAGTTCTGGGCCTCAGGGCCCAGCCTCTCTGTTCACGTCTCCTCATGTGTTTGGGCTTTGAATCCTTTTCTTCTAGGGCCTTCTTTTTCTCTGACAGCCAAGGAAGCCACGTAGCAAGGATGGAGTGAGTTGGCTGGGGGCCTCTTCCCAGAGATGCTGTCATACTGGGCCACTCTAGTTCTCTTGAGCTCTCAGCAGGCAGACATGGTGATGACTAGGCACTGTCTGTGGCTTGTGATAGGCCCTTCTACCCTGTCGCAGGCTCTGAAATGGGGTGCCTGGGGGAGTGCTTACTTTGCCACTGGTTTAGCTTGGTGAGAGCTGATCTCCATTCCTTGAGTACCTCCTGTGTGCCTGGCGTCTGCTTAGAGTGTGCCTGGGGCTGGAATGAGGAAGGAGGGAGGGGAGGAGGCAGCAGTGGCACTGTCCTTCCCCTTGGGTAGCTCATAATCTCTCTGAGATTGCTGCTTCATCTTGGCAGCCAGCCATGAGCCAGGGGAGGAGCTCAGAGTGTGAGTGCTTATCAGAAGGAGAGACTGTGTGGGTGCCGCCCTGAGGAATGAGTGGGGTGAAGGAATCTGGGATCTACTCGTTTCCTGAGAGAGCCTCCCTTTTTGACTCTGCCCTCCCACATCCTTGGGAGGGTCTGAGGCTGCATGCAAGACTTTGGCCGATTTATGGCCATGCTGGCTGATAGTGTGCATTGGGCTGGTGGGTGTGTCCCTGGCTCCTGGGATCTGTCAAGAGTTTAATTTTGTGCAGATGGAGGTTGGCAGGAAATGTGATGCAGGCATGTGCAAGCCCGGACAGAATGCTAGAGCTTGAGTCAAACTTTGAAAAAGTTGTTTAAATCTAGCGGTTTGGACTTTTGAAGTGCCCCAGGGTGGGACATCAGCCTATCCTAGAGCAGAGAGGGCTGGTGGCTCCTGTGGTCTCTGGGTTTTGTCCTGGGGATATGGAATGGGGGATATAGTTTTTATTCTCAGAAGGAGCAAAGGTGAATGAAAAGTCTGGACTAGACTTCTTGGAGCCCTAGGAGAGAGTTTTTGTTCAAGTGATGTCATTGTACAGCAGAGGATTAAGTGTTTAGGTAGTGAGTTCTCCAGCTCAGGGAGGATCTGTCTGAGCCTGGTCACAGACCAGCATCTGCTCTAGACCTTTCAGGAAGTACTTGCTAGAATGTAGCCTGCTCTGTACCTGGCACTCCTGAGGGCCAGAGTGTGGCCCAGATCCTGAGGCCTGGTACCTGTAGGAACTTGGAACAAGCAGGTCAGAGGCATAGAAATCCTAGAGTATTGGTCCAGTCCCCTGCCTTTTGCCAGAGAACTTTCCTTCGTTGGTGAACTTTAGAGCCAGTGATTGACCAGTTCCGGGGTTATTCCGTGATGGTCAGCATGCTGCATTATGCCTGACTCCACTCTCTCCTGAATTAATGTTTCATCTCTTTGGGCACTCCTGGAATGTGGAGATTGCCCAGTTTGTGCCTCGCTTTCACCTTCACTGTCTCCTAAACTGGACCTTCTTCCTCTCTAGGGATTAGCTGGGCAGCTGGCCACTTCCGATCTACTGATCTTCCTTCAGTACTCTTGGGTGCTGATGACTGGTATAAGTTGTGCGTGGCACTGGGCTGCCCACTGATGTCTGTCATCTCATTCAATCCTCACAACAGCCCTATGGGATGTAGGTCCTAATATTATCACCGTTATATAGACGGGAAAACGGAGGCTCAGAGAGACTTGTGACCTGTGTGAGGTCACAAAGCCAGGAAGTGATGGTGGAGCTGAGATTTAACTCTGGGGCTGTCTGACCCCAGGGCGGCTGTGCTTGCCTGCTGGACTGTATTGCCTTGCCCTGAGCTGGGCTGGTTGGCCATTTGTGAGTGCTGTGATGTCTGGGGCAGGAGTGACTGCTCACCTGAACTCGAGGCACCATGTTCCTGTCTTCTGGGTCCATGTAGCTGTCCACCTTCTGGTGCCCTCCAGTCATGGATGTCATGAAGTTGCTTTGTGAACCACCATGAAGTCCTTGACCTAGGCAGGCCTGCTCTGCTGGGGCGAAATGTGGCTCCTCCTTTTGGGAGGCCCTTGTGCTGTAAGACAACAGATGTTACTGAGTAGGACTGAATGGCAGCAATATGTAGTGGCAAGTATATTGGAGGTTTGAGTCTTGGCTCTGCCATTGATTTGCTGTAGCATGACAGGTGTGCAGGAAACCCTCTCTCAGCCTCAGTTATCTATCTTATATATTTATATATGAAATGGGGATGATTATCTAGTTTACAAGGTTTTGGTGAGGATTAGATGGTAGAAATGAAAGATTTTTGGAAACATAAATAGTGGTTATCTTAGCCTAGTTCCCAGAAAACAGAGCTTGAGGCAGAGCTTAAGTGCTTAATGCTTCATTGAAGGTGCAGTTGCAGGGCAGCAAGGGTAAGGGAAAAGAAAAGTGAAGTAGAGAAGGATGGGAAGCAAATAAAAGGTGGTGCATTAGCAAGCTGGCCAGTCTGCATAGAGATGCACTAGTTGTTCAGCCATACAGGACATCTCTGGGTGAGCTCTACAGAAACTCCGCGCCACGGAACAGTTTCTCAGTGGAGATCTGGAGAGGGAATTTGCTGACCTCCTTGTCTTCTGTCCTTCATTTGTCAGAGTTGTCTCATGAGGAGTTAACTGCCCCTCACTCCTCTGTTGCACTACCAGCGTGCTCCAGAAGCCACTGGGGAGGGCAGTGTGGCACTTCACTGGAGTCTGGAAGTAGTGGTAGTAGCCAGAGATTTGGGGTCTGCACAGTCTCCTCCACTGGGTCTGAGGCGGAGGAAGCGGTCCAGGGCCCAGGAGACAGGTGAGGCCAAGAGAGTATGAGGCAGTGTACATCAGATGCATCCAATATGGTGGTGTGTGGATTTTGTCCTCGCATCTAGTTCTGTCTTATGAATTAGTTTCACCTAGACTGCCAAGTCTCTACCAAGACCATGACTGAAAACCCAGCTTGGGTTTTGCGTGTCGATGTTTACAGCCTTCTCTGCTACTTCATTGCCTAGTTACTGAAGTGGGAGACTTTGTGGTTTTGATGGTATCTAAGTGAGAAGTACAAATCCACATCTGTATCTATCCTTAGATAGATACAGATGAACATCTAGGCTTCGTTAGGTTCTCAGTGAAGGAGGATATTTTTCATGTGAGGTAGTCGTTGAAGATATGAAACCTGGAGTCATGAGATGGTGCTGGAGAGGGTGGTAGGGCCAGGTCACGCAGAGTCAAAAGGGCCCTTAGGACTAAGGAGTTTGGACTTTATCCTGAGGGCAGTGGAGAGCCTTTGGAGGGTTGTTAGGGAGAGAGAGACCAAACGAGGGGCTACAGGAAGCCATGCTGGCCACTTTGTAGAGCAGAGGGAGGGAGGTGAGATGAGATGAGAGACCAGGGCAGGCGTGGGCCAGGATGGCTGCAGGAGGGAATTAGGGGTGGCATGACATCAGGTAAGGAGAATAGTGTGCCTCCCATCCTTCCTTGGGGTTCCAGTGACAGCAGCTTGTGGGCCTGAGTGGACATCCATGTGCTTAGGTGGCAGGCCCTCCTGGAGCCTCGCACACTTCCTCCTGGGTTGAGGGCACAGGTCCTCTTGGCTCTGCCATACTGGAGTTGGCCACACCACTGAGATACAGGGCTGCTGCAGGGAGCCCTGTTCAGGCAGGTTCTGCCCCTTCACAGAAGGCAGGCATCCTCTTATAACTGCCAAGCAAGACGTGTTTGTTCTCAGCAAACCCATGTTCTGTCTCGAGGCTGTTAAATGTGTTGTTAAAACTCAAGCTGTTGCATTTGGGTTGCAGCTGGGAGCTTGGCAGAGGTTCCTGCCTGATGAGGTAGGGGAGAAGCTAAGGACGCTGCTGGTTTGCAGCTGGAAACATCTTTTCATGGCCATTTGGCCAGGTTATAAATGTCCTTTCCAAAGAGCAGGCTTGTTGCGGCCTCTGATTGTATGTCTTGGAATTGCCCTGTGCTTAGAAACAGTGCCGGTCACCTGGTGGGTGAATCACTGTCGCTGGGGTGTTGGCAGGCTTTGGAGCACCTCCCTGTTGGGATCCAAACTCTTGGCTGCCAGGGCTGCTTTGGAGTCCATTTGAGAGGGCCTGCTTTGTTTTCTTTTCTTTTTAAGCATATTATAAAATATATTTAAATTTCCCATAGAGCTCCTTGTAGAAAGATTAGGAAATACATATATACGTAAAGAGAAAAAATTATTTAGCCAAGATATAATCAGATGCATGACTCTCTTCTTGTATACATACATGTATATATATGCATATACATATAAATTTTTCCTCGTAAAAATGAAGTCATGGAGTACATATCGTTTGGGAGCCTCCTCTTTTCACTTAATAGTATGCTTTGATCTTTTTTCCGTGTTCCTATGCATACAGTATCCATTCTTATACAGTCCATAACAATCCATTGTATGGAAGAAATGTAAAATCTTCTGTTGTTGTAGTTTCCTCACTTGAACAAGTGTGTGATGAAGTATTATTTATTGGCTGCCTGACGTGGGCCAGACATTGTTCTAAACTCGGGATGTTGCTCAGATAACACTCAGTATTGGTTTTCTGCTCAGGCTTGGTGCCTCTTTCTTTTTCGTAAAAGGAGGTTTGACATTTCCCATTTCCAGGGCTATTCAGCATAGATTTCTGAGGGTTCCTGAGAGGACTTTCAGCAGCAACGGACACTTTGCGGGGCAGGTTTACATACTGCCCCCTACTCTGTCCTAAGCAAGCTCTGGGTATAGGTGTGAGATGAGGCGGGGTCGGGGGGTGGAGCACGTAGGTGGTTGGCTTTTCCTGCACTGTGGGACACAGTCCCTCTTGGATGCTGCCTCCTTCTAACCTGACCTTGATTAGATGACCTTTTTTACAAAGCCTTTAGTGTTCAGGGGCCCAGGATCAGGAGAAATGGGGTGGGGCTCCAGGGCACCCCTGCCTGTGGTGGCTGTGTTGATTGTGGCAGTCTGGGGGCTGCTCAGGGGTGCCTAGCTCTCTGGACCAGCAGAGTCATCATCCCCTTCCTCCATCAGAGCAGGAATTTTCAGGCTCTTGGTAAGCCATTTCCCAGAACCTCTTCTGTGATTCTTTGGGGCTCTGCCTCCAGGCTGGGATTCATGGATGGGCTCAATCTAAGCCAGATAGCACATTCCAGAGAAATGACAGCTGGTATTCATGTAATGAAGGAACCTGGCTGCTTTTTCCTGAGTGTTGTAAGGCATGAACTATGGACAGTATCACCAAAAGGAATAGAAAGGCTTCTCGCTCCCTTGAATTTGTTACCTGATAAAGAGGTATGCCATTATAGCTGGCAACACACGAGGGGAGAAGCGCTGGGGCCCCCGCTTCCAACCATGTCTGGTCTGGTCTCCTGCCTGGGCCCTGCTCTCCCACCACCCAGGTCTGACGGGCAGTTGGCTTGTCCCTCACTGTCCACAGATACAGCCTCCTGGCCCTGGGTTTTTACTGCCCCACCCTACACACATACAGAAGGTGCTCTCTCTGCAAGAGTCAAGCCTCTTGAGATACAAGGAACAGACACCACCCCCTGTGAAAGAGGCTTGTGTAAGCAAGAAGAGAGGCCTTCTGGAATCCTGGGGTAGAGATGCAGTATGGTGAGGCCTGGGAGCAGACCTGTGGCTGGAACAAGGAGGACCTGGGCTCTCCATCTCAGGGCTAGCCTGGGCCTTCTCACCTTCTCTGAGACTTGCTTTCCCGTGCTGCCCTAACTCCATAATGGATCCCTTAGACCAGTATTACCCTGCAGCAGGTTCTGGGCTGAAAGATCTTGTCTTGTGTATCTCTGGGCCCCCAACACCCAGGGCACTGAGGGATGTGCTGCTGGCTGTGCACACATTTGCCAGGGACTTGAAAAAAGGGCCATTCACTTATTCTCTTCTCTTCCTGATATAGGAACTTGTTTGGGGGTGAGAGTTGTGGTTGGGCTTCTCTGAGCCTAACCTGCAACCACAGTGGATTGGAATTTCTTCTGAAAGGATGAGGTGAGGAATGGGGGGTGTGACTGTGTCTAATCGACCATGACAGGCAAAAATGGATGAACTGGCATTAGTCAGCTCAGACTTAGAATTGTCAGAGAAGGTCTACATTTTCAGGGGGAAGAATTTGTATTTCCTTTATTTTCCTTGTTTTCTCTTAGTAAATTTCCAGTGGGGCCTGGCTGATGTAGAGCAGGAGGAGGAAGGACTGGCAGAGCGGGGCTCAGATGGCTGCTGGTTCTCCAGCATGCTCTGGGCTGCATGGCTGAGCTGGGAGATGATGTCTGAAGCTTCTGTTGTGTGCTTAGGTCCACTGCCAGTGGGGCTTGCCCTAGGTTATGCCTGCTGCCTTCAGAGCAGGGTCTGGCTATTTCTAGGCTGACGAGAAGACAGCAGCTGGCCTCTTACCCATGTCAGCAGCCCACCTCAGCCTGAGATTTTGGCCCTGAGTGGCTGATTTATTTTTGTATCCTGAGCGCCTAGCTCAGTGCCTGGCATATGTGGGTCTTTAGTAAATATTTGTGAATGGTGACTCGCCAGTGAGGACAGTGTCTGCCGTGGAGCCTCACAACAGGAAGAACAGTGTCTGCTCAGAGTGTCCGCTCCCCAGACTGCTCTTGCTGTGGCCAGGTACAGACTGGCAGGGGGCAGTTTTATTCCTCTTCTGGCCAACCATTTGCTGTACACTTCTTTTTGGCTGTGGGTCCCCTGGAGCATATTATACCATCTTCTTTCTCTTGTTGTCTCTCCTGTACCGTCAGCTTTCTTGTGGGAAGGGGCTTCGTGTTACATCTGGGTCCCCAGCAGCTGGCACTGTCCTGGCATATGTGTTGGAAGGAAAGACAGAAACAGACAAGCAGTCTATGAAATGAGAAGGAATGGGCCAGAATCTTGGACTGACAGACTGGTAGAACCAGAGGTGACTTCCCCCATGCAATTCAGCCTTCCCATGTTGCTGGTGGTTACCAGGAGTTGAGAGAGCAGAGTCTCTGCCAAGAGCATGTGGCCTCCTAGAGCAGGGGCCAGAATTGAGCACACATCACTGGTTCCACTCCCTGTGCTCTTTCCACTGGTGATCGTGAATGTCCTTCTTAGCTTCTGTGTGCTAGGTGAGGATTTTGGCATGTTTGAATGTGTGTATATATGTGCACATGTGTATGTGTCTCCTCACCTAAGTTACTTTTTTTCACTGTTGATCCAATGACAGTCACTGAATACCTTGCAGACACTGCCCTCTGTGACCATGAAACTCCGGGTGTCCACGTTGCTGATGGCCTGGTTTGGTGTCCTGGGCTGTGTGCAGGCCGAATTCTTTACCTCTATTGGTATGTGCCAACAGGGTTATCGTCTCCCTAAGCAATCTTTGGCTCAAGTGCCAGGGGATGTCACTGCCCAAGGCCTATTCTCATTCAGGGTGGGATGGCCTCACCCACTGGTTTTGCCCAGTTCTGGAGAGTGGGGCTTGCAGAGTTGCTGGTTCCCCCGCTGAGGCCCTGGTGACGTGGATGTCCTAGGAGCCAGTTGTCTCAACTGGGACCCCTCCCTGGGAAGTTCAGGCTGCTCTTTTCTGACTGTCTTTTTCATGGATCAGAGAGTGGTTCTGAACAGAGAACACTCTGTGGCCAGTGGATCCAGCTGCTCTTCTTCTGACAAAGTCACAGAGCTTGTTTCCATATGATGAAGCCTCCAGGATGTCCATGCCCCAGTGGCATGACCTAACTGGGTGACAGCGGGAGAATGAGATTTGGGGCTTCTTCCTTAAGGTGCCCGCACTGCACTTATCTCCGTGTCCCCTTGGAGCCTCTGCCTCTCTCTTCCTGAAGCTGGGGGCCAGGACCATGTGAGTGTCTATGCCCCCTTTAACTCCAAGTCCCCACAATCCCAAGAGAGTTGGTATGCCCTTGGCCCAGGGGACTTCCCTCTGTGCTGGTGTTCTGTGCCCCGAGGAAGGGGGCTGGACATCCCTCATTCATTTCTCACTGGCCCTTCTCTCCCTTGCAGGGCACATGACGGACCTGATTTATGCAGAGAAGGACCTGGTACAGTCTCTGAAGGAGTACATCCTTGTGGAGGAAGCCAAGCTCTCCAAGATTAAGAGGTGTCTGACATCTTGAGTCCCCACCACCCACCCTGAGTCAGTCCTCCTGTCCCCCCAGGAACTCATCCAGGGTACCCATAACAGGAAGCCTTGAAGAGGGCAATGTGGGGCTAGCCTCCAGGTTGCTTCATGCCAGTTGTCCAGAGTGGCTAAGTACATGGGCTCAGGACTCACTGCTTTTTCCTTTCTATTTAAGAGACTTTTTGAATATGTTAGAGTTCCCAGCTCTTATCTAGATTAAGGGCCTGGAAGTATCTGTGGGGAGTTACTGTATTCATTTTTGATTTCTTTATTGCCTCGTGATGAAAAGAGTCCTGAATCTCACCAAGGAAATTACCACAGGTCAAGACCCTTGTGGGTGGGCATGTTAGTCTTCCTTTTCCTCTGGTTCAACAGCTGGGCCAACAAAATGGAAGCCCTGACCAGCATGTCAGCTGCTGACCCCGAGGGCTACCTGGCCCACCCTGTGAATGCCTACAAACTGGTGAAGCGGCTGAACACAGACTGGCCTGCACTGGAGGACCTTGTCCTGCAGGACTCAGCCGCAGGTGAGGGCTGGTGAGCAGGTGCTTGAATGAACCCGTATGTTTGTGTGCTCACACCTGGGGAGTGTGTCTGAGCCTGTCCTGGGTCTGGGTGTTGGTGGGCATGTGCAGTGTGAACATGGACCCTGCCATCTCGTGGCTCTCTCCCTTCTCTGGGGACCTGGCAATCGGCTCTCCTTGTTTTTAATAGGTAGCAATAATCAACTCTTGCCTTTTCCTAGTGTTTTCACTTCCCTTTTTATGGTAGTGAGTTTTTTCTAATTATACTTTAGTAAGGTTTTATAAAAAAGTTGGAAAACAAAAATAATCACATAAGAAAATTGCAGTTCTTAATCCAGTTGCCTGGATTAAGATCCAGGCATTAAGATAAGCACTATTAAAATAAAAAAGTCTTTCCACACATGCATATACATTAAAAAAAAAAAAGGAAGGTCTGGCCCCGTGGCCTAGTGGTTAAGTTCAGAGTGCTCTGCTTTGGTGGCCTGAGCTCGCAGGTTTGGATCCTAGGTGCAGACCTACACCACTCATAAGCCGTGCTGTGGCAGCAACCCACATATAAAGTAGAGGAAGATTGGCATGGATGTTAGCTCAGGGCTAATCTTCCTCACCAAAAAAAAAAAAAAAAAAGGAACCATACATATATACCAGGGGATGCAAACTCACTTGCTTTGAGGAACCAAATGAATTAACAAAATTGAGTTAAATGGGCTGGGTGATGGGCCCAGTGCAAGCTGCGGAGCATGGGCCTCAGCTAAATTCATTCCCATTCATATCTTTTAGAAATAAAACATATCTGTTGGCAGATTTGTGTCATAGCATATACTGTTTTCCTAAATTTTCCAGCTTCTCCATATGTGCGTTAAATGTTCTCCTGGAACATGATTTTAATGGCTGGGCAGTAATATGTTATACTGATGTAGTGTAAAACTGGTCAAATCAGTGGACATGAGTTATTTCCAAATATCAGCAGTCTTGCATATACGTCTTGGTGCCCATCTCTGATTATTTTCTTAGGATGAATTCCTGGAAGTGGTATTTGCAGGTCAACGAATGAACTTTTTTAAAGCTTTAACTGTGCTTGGTGCTTTTACTATGGTAGTACTTTCTATGCTCTAACATTTTCCTCCCAACAGGAGATGGTGGAGCAGGCCTGGAGGTGGGCCATCCTGACATCCAACCCTGGGTTCAGCCCCCTGGACTCACCGCCTCTTCTCCCTGGGTTTAGAGTGCTAATTAACTTCAGACTAGTCTCTCTGGCTGAGGCGTTTCAGCCCATGTGGCCAGACTGGGGCTGCGCTTGGCTGGGGGCAGGGTGGCCTCTGGGGAGGGATTGGTGAGCTCAGCTGAGCTGGACATATGCCTGGTGAGCTCACTGCCTCCAGAAGCCTTTCCCAGACCACTGTCTCCCAGCCTGGGCCTGTAGTTCAGAACTGGCTGTTTTGCCTGCGCTGCAGGAGAATAAGCCTGCCCAGATGACCTCCCACTCTCCAATCTTGTTCTCCACACCCCACCCCCACTGTCAACATCTGGTTCCTTTGGAAAACCTTATAATTATCTGGAGGGAAACAGGACAGGCCCAGAGAGCAATAGGTTATTTTCGCCTCTGACTTGCAGAGTCCTTGCCTCTGAAATGAGGGGGACACGCCGACAGTGTGGCTTTTTCTAAGGGCATGTTTTCTTTTTCCTGGATTCTATACTCCTAGAGTCCCTCACCATGCAGCCATGAGGAAGACAGGGTTGCAGCCTCTTGGTCCCTGGGTCCCCAGGCATGGCTAGAAGTAGGTTTTTGAGCCTGAGGGGTCATGAAAGTAGGTGGCCATGGGTACTGCTGCTCTGGGGAAGAGACCAGGGAAGAAATGGCCTTGGAATTCCCCTCCTATTTCTTAGATCACAGGCAGAATTGAAGCCTCTGAATCAGCATGGGAGGGCCTGGCACCCACCTGGAGTCCTGAGATTGTAAGAGGTGGTTATCTTGCTTTACATCTAGGGCTTGGAGTCCCAGAACTGTCTCCTTGGGTACTTCTGTGATTAGGGGCTCTCCCAGGCTCCAGGCTGTGGTCTTGAGCACAATTGGGGAGCTCATGCCCTGAGCTCATAGCAGGTCTAAGTGGTGGGAGTAACAGAGAGCAGAGCAAGGCCCGGTGTGATCTCTCAGGAGACCACGCTGGGCTTGTGCAGCCCCACCTCAATGCTTGGCCTGGCCAGATGGTCTTCCAGTCCATAATCCATAGGTGGGGACAGCGCCAAATGCCTCCAGGACTGTTGTCATCACCTTTCTTTATGATAAGAGCCAGTGGTCAGTAATGAATGGCCAGCTGGGCTCCCTGAGTTGACCACCTCTGTCTCTTGGGCTCCTCAACCTGAGATGTGGGCTAGAAGTTTGTGTTTACCTGGCAAGCCCAATAATCCTGGATCAAGGTTTTCCAAGTGGTTCATTTTCTACTCAGTGGTCAGCATGTCCTTCCTGAGTCCTCTCCTGTGTCCCTCTCAGTTACCCTCTGTGACTTCTGTCCCTTCTGTCTCCACAAGGTCTGACTGAGTGCTTTGGAGCCAAAACTCCCAGACTCCCACATGTTAACCAGTGTGTGGGGCCGTTTCTGTTCAGTTCCAAATGAGCAGCACAGGCAGTCAGTACAGTGAGGAGTAAGAAAGAAGAGGTCTCCATGGACTGGAGCCATAAAGGAGAGCTTCCTGGAGGAAGGGGAAACAGCCTTTGAGGGAAGGGGCAGGGAGATTGAACTAGCCAGAGACTCTCCAGTGGGTGCCGTTCTCTGGTCCCAGGTGGAATTCTGCCCCTGGATCAAGGGTAACCTCTTGTTCTCACTCTCGTTTGGAAGGTTTTATTGCCAACCTCTCAGTGCAGCGCCAGTTCTTCCCCACTGATGAGGATGAAACAGGAGCTGCCAAGGCCCTGATGAGGCTTCAGGACACATACAAGCTGGACCCAGATACAATTTCCAAAGGGGAACTTCCAGGTAACTCACCACCCCAGGCTTTGCCTGTCCAGCATGTGTGTCTGCTACTGTGTCTGGACAGGGTTGGAGCCCCCACTGACTCGTGGTCTCTACCCTCCAGTGCAGCATTACCTCTGGCGGTGATCTCTCTGGGTTTCCAGTTGGTGCTAGTCCCCCATTCCCATGACAGCCGCCTCCCCTCAGCTCCTGCCCTGCTGTTTTAGCCCAGGCCCTCTCCTCTCGCATCTCAAAGAAAGCTGAGGCTGCTGCTCAGAAGCCCCTTGGCCTCTGCCCCCAGAGCACCACTCAGATCTGTGTCCAGACCCGCTTCCATCCCCTACCCTCCGATTTCTTCTTGCCCAAGGCTGATCTCTGGACTCAGTGCCCCATGTCCTGTGTGCCCTCAGTTACAGTTTCTGCCCCTGTTCATTCTGTCTCCACCTTTCTGGGCTCTTCCCCCTGAGCTCACACATATGCTCCATTCTTGCTCATCTTACCCCTTCCTCAGGATCCAAGGCCCTTTTGATCTCTTCTCCCTCCTGGATAGAGTCATCTACACTCTTTCTCCACTTCCTTGGTTCCCGTGTCCTCCTGAACACACAAAGTCTGGCCTCTTTCCCTACCATCCACCGATCTTGCCCCTGCAAGGTCACCGGTGGCCACTTGGCTGGTAAAGCCAGTGGACAGGTTTCAGGCATAATGTTCTTTAACTTTTCACTGGCATTTGGCACATTGGTTGCCCCATTCTTCCTGATACTCTCCCCTCCTTTGAATTCTAGGACACTGATCTCGGCTGCTTCTCTTTCGGCACCTCTCTCATTTTTTTTCACAAGCCACTTTCCAGTGACTGTCTCAGTATGTTTTTTTGGGGGCTCTTGGAGGCCAATAAACCCAGGGATTCAGTTAGACCCCATTAGACATTGGATGCCACCTCACACCCTTGGAACCCTGGAGGAGGCATAAGCAGAGGGAATCACGGTGTATGGGAGAAAGAGGCACTCAGTTGATGGCTGGTCAGGACCTGGAGCCCTGGTACTGAGGAATCTGGCGAGCCAGCAGGAAGACTTCTCCTTATTCCTGCCTCAGTTAGGTCTTGGACCAAGCCAGGCCGTGAGTCCAGAGAGAGAAGGCAGCTCAGGGCACCTGCAAGATCTGTTCACCCTGTAGCTGTGAGAATTGGTGGGAAGAGGGAGCCACACCCAGGCATTGACCTTTTATATTCGGTTAACAGACTCATGCATGTCCTGGAGAGGCCATGAGGGCTGGAAGGGAGTTATTTCATCAGGATTCCACCCCTACCTCATGTTCTCCCTAAGCACCTTCTCCAGGTGAGCTCAGCCATTTCCGTTAGTTGAGGTATAGCCTGTACATGGATGACATCCAGATCTGTGTTTGCTGTCAAGGCTTGTCTCCTGAGCTTCCAACCAGTGTAGGCAAATACCTGTGGGACATCTCTACTTGGATGTTCCATGGGCTCCTCAAAATTCTCATGTCCCAAACTGAAATCCTCATCCCCTTTTCAACTGTCTACCCTCCTCTCTCACCCCTTATCTCAGCAAAAAGCACCTCTATCCACTGGCTGCCCAAGGTAGAGTCCTAAGGCTGTGGTTCTACCTCCCTAATGTCTTCTGTACTTGGAGGCCTTGACTTTAGCCTTGTGGTCATCTCTTTCTCAACTGGATTATTGAAATAGCATTCTGATTTATAGTCTACCTCCAGCTCACTCCTTAAAATCATCCTCCGTGTGGTCTTAAGCATGTACCTATTTACATGAGTTCCTGATTCACAATGCTTAACTTTCAGGGCTAAACCCAATTTTCTCTTATGTGTGGTCCTTAAGGTCCTGCGTGGGGCCGACTCCCCAGCCTCCTTGGCCCATTGTACTAAGCTTCCCCACCACTCAGCTCCTTTGTTCATCCGATGCCCTCTACAGGAACACCTTTACCCACATCAGCTGGGTTTCAGGTCTGATTGCCCTTCATCACTCAGCTCAGCTGGCACTCTCCAGGGAGTGTTCTCCAGGAGGTAGACTTTTGAGTTGGCTTCTGGGGAGGATGCTGAGTGTCTGGGAGCCATTCTTGACCTTCTTGGCATCTTTGAGACATATTGATAATAGATACTGATTATTAGCATCCTGGGAATCATAGGAGACACCTTCATACATCATCTCGTTGAATTCTTGGCACAAGTCCTCTAAAATTGACGGTATTATCTCTATTTAGAGGTGAGGGGACTAAGACTCAGAGAGGCTAAGTAACTTGTCCATAGCGAGGCCTGCACAGACCCAGCTTTGTCCAGCTCACTCAGCTGTGTTATACTGCCTGCATCAGTGCAGGTTCCTGGGCCTACAGAGCTGGCGGCAATCTGTGGAGGCCCATGGAGAGTGGACAGGGTCTCAAGGAACCTTCTAATCTCTGGCCTGCCTACTAACTCCATCTTATGTTTACTCTCCCCAACTTCCTGTCCCACATTGTCTGTTCCTGAGGCATCAGGGCGAGCAGACCCTGGTCTCTGAGGCAGCCAACCCATTGCAGCAGGGGTTTCATTCTGGACAGAGCCCCATCTTGGACGTAAGGCAGAAAGAGACCACTCTGAGGCAGCTCTTCTGTGTCACCCATGCCTAGAATGCTGTTAATGGGGTTGTAGGGAGACTCCCTTGCTTTCTAGGGAGGGTCACAGCCTCTTTTGGCTCTCCATGGGACCTGCTTTCTCATTGTTCTCTGAGGAACACACTCATGGTCCCTCCTACCTTGCCCCCACTCTAAACCCTGCATCTCCCCATCATCTCACACTACATCCTACATCACATTTCCTTCTTCTTCTTGACCTGACACTATCTTCATGGTTCCTTTGCAGCGCTGAGCCCACAGCCGATGACTTATAGTCACAGGACCTGCTGAATTGATGCTCACCAAGGTCCCCGCCACCTAATGGCCAAAGTCGGCACTGCAGTCTTGGCTCTTGGGCTCCCTTGGCATCTGTCACATCACTTCTGCTCTGTTTCTTCTACCTCTTAGGTCCTTCTCAGTGTTATGCACTCCCTGTCCTTTCTGTGTAGGTGGTCTCTGGGGTTGTGGCCTCAGCCACTTTCTCTAGTCTTTCCTTATACTCTTCCTGGAAGAGATTATCCTCCTCCATGGCTTTAGCTGCCACCTAAGTTCTGTTTTTTATATTCAGCTAGTTTTTCTACCCTCCAGACTCATATGGCCCAGTGCCTAGCTGACATCTCCTGTGTGGCTCACAAGACCTTCATACTCTACTGAGTACTACTTCTTGGTGGACTTCATGAGCTCCTCTGTAAAAAAGGCCTCTTCCCACTTGGGAAAAAGGAAGTCTGAGGCTAGGAGATTGGCTTTGAACCCCATCCCAAGTCAGGGCCAGCCTGGCTCACTATACCAATGGCCCTTTGAGTTGTGTGGTCTGAAGCCCTGGTGGAACTTTGCTGGAATGATGTCACCCCTTTTCTACTTTGACCCCTTCTAGTGGCCCAGGCTTCCTTGATGTGGTGATCTCTCTCCCTAACCCACAGGCTCTTTGGAGCCTGACTATTTGCCTCTCCTCCTGCAGGAACCAAGTACCAGGCAGTGCTGAGTGTGGATGACTGCTTTGGGATGGGCCGCTCAGCCTACAATGATGGGGACTATTACCACACAGTGCTGTGGATGGAGCAGGTGCTGAAGCAGCTCGATGCTGGGGAGGAGGCCACCACAGCCAAGACCCAGGTGTTGGACTACCTGAGCTATGCCGTCTTCCAGTTGGGCGACCTGCACCGCGCCCTGGAGCTTACCCGCCGCCTACTGTCCCTTGGTAAGGAGGTTCTAGGGGAAGGTCACATGTGGATGGGGAGCTGGCAGGAGAACTAGTCACTCTGCTGGCCACTGCCTGGCTGCTCTCTTGGGACTGAGCCACTCTGATCTGTCACCTGGCTTACTGCTTTCAGGCCCAGTCCAGCTGCCAGCTAGCTCCTTACTGACCTCATTTCTGGCCTTAGCCCTTGCCCAGTCACTGGTAGATACACTCAGGCCTGTGGCACCTGTGGCCTTACAGACTTCTTTTTTTGTTGGTGAGGAAGATTGGCCTTGAGCTAACATCTGTTGCTGGTCTTCCTCTTTTTGCTTGAGGAAGATGGTCCCTGAGCCAACATCTGTGCCAATCTTCCTCTACTTTGTATGTGGGATGCCGCCACATCATGGCTTGTTGAGCGGTGTGTAGATCCATGCCCAGTATCCAAACCTGCGAACCCCAGGCTGCTGAAGTGGAGCGCTCAAACTCAACCATTACACCACTGGGCTGGCCCCATGCTTCCTTTTTCAGTAGGAATCCAGTGCTGCAGTGCATCTGCTGCTATGCAAGGGGGAGCCTTCACTGTGTCAGGAGCAGCTCGAGAGGCAGGCTGTACTTTGGGTTTGCTACAGTGATAGTGACCTGACCCATTAGTTAGAGGCCCAAGGTCTAACTGGGAGGACTTGCCAGGGCATTAGTATTTTCAGGGTCTTGTGTCGGACTGAAGGAGATCAAAAACACTGTGTCTTTAAAACCCATCTGTTCTACCTCTTACTGACATATGGGAATATCATAGTCTGGAATTTCACAGAACCAGTGAAGACTTTTTTATGCTGCTGCTTTTCATGGGTCTTGAGGCTGATGCCAGCTGGCATATGAGTGTCCTGCAAGACTGATGTGGGAAGAGAGCTTTGTAGATTCTGTCGTGTTAGTAAGAGCCTTGGACAGGGAGTCAAGACATCTGGATTCCCTGTTCTGTATACCTTAACCTAAATCTCTTATCATCCTCGGGCTTCAGTTTCCTCATCTGAGGAGTGGCACAGTAACCCTGTCACACTTGCTCCTTCATATTGTGAGGCCCACAAGATGAGGCTGTGGCAGTGTTACATGGCTGTTCTTTTTGCTAGTATTTCAGCCTGCCTTCCAGTTGTGGCCAGCATGTAATGTGGTCACCAGTAATGGATATACTCCAGAGGACGGATGTAACTGGCACAAAGCCAAGTCGGGAATCGGAGGCAGGACTCTGGACTGCTTCTCTGCACCTACATCCTTGAGGCCTCCAGGGAGGCCTGAGAGGACAGCCGCCTCAGTGGCTGGCTAAACATCCACTCTTTTGTTGCTTCTCTCTCATCCCTGACCAGAGTTGGGAGAACCTCTGTTGACTTTTCTGCTTTGACCAGTGAACCCTGGGTAGGTGCTGTGGAAGGCAGAATGATGCGTGCAAGTGAGCTGCTGGGAGAGAAAACTTACAGGATAATTTCTCTAAATGACCTAACAGATGTTTGTGGTTTCCTTTTGCTTCTTGTTCTTTGCTTTTTCTAGACCCGAGCCATGAACGAGCTGGAGGGAATCTGCGGTACTTTGAACGGTTGTTGGAGGAAGAAAGAGAAAAACCATCATCAAATCAGACAGAAGCTGGGCTAGCAACCCAGGAAGGCATCTATGAGAGGCCTGTGGACTACCTGCCCGAAAGGGAGGTGTACGAGAGCCTCTGTCGTGGGGAGGGTGTCAAACTGGTGAGACATGTGGGTGGGTCAGGGGCCCAGGCTGTAGACTTAGACTTTGGCTCAGGACAGCAGATTTGGGGATGATGGTCCTCTGTTTGTAGGTCGTTTTCTCAGCATCTTCCCCAGTCTTTGTAGCATCTCCTGAAGCTGATGTGTGGGTGTTCTCTGAGGTGTAGCAGGAGATTGTCTCTCCTGATGCCCTAGGTAGAGTTTCATCCTGTAAGTTATACTGAGCTCCTTTCCTGACCCCAGTGTGCCCAGCTTCTGCTTCACTCACTGTTGTGAAGAAAACTAGGGTGTGGATGTGCCTCAGGCTCCAAGGGAAGTCATGATCTCTGTAGTAAAGACACGGCAGTTGCTAGAGCTTGGTATTGGGTATCACTGGCCTTTGAAAGTCCTGGGATCCCAGTGCTTCCTCAAGGAGGCTGAGGTGTGAGGCAGTCTCTTGGCCTTTTCCATGCTCATATCTGCTTGGCTTCCCTTGGCTCATCCATCTGGAAAGGCTTCTCCCTTGCCCTAGCCCTTCTGACCTACTCACATCTCTGTGGAAGGGGTCAGGGATTACCCTCTACCACAGGACTTGTGGACATGAGGTGTTCTTGGGAGAGAAGAAACATTGCATGATTTGTGGGGTACCATTTCATGCCAATCAAGCTGAGGGACTTGTATTTTCTTCTGTGGGGGGCAGGAGGGAACAGCTGCTGGACATGGGTGGGGAGAGCAGTGTCTGCAGCCAGCCAGCCTAGGACTGAGAGTGAGGAGTCACTCAGCTCAGGGCCTGTTGTTCTGTGCTTTTCAGACACCGAAGAGGCAGAAGAGGCTTTTCTGTAGGTATCACCATGGCGACAGAACACCACAGCTGCTCATTGCCCCCTTCAAAGAGGAGGATGAGTGGGACAGTCCGCACATCGTCAGGTACTACGATGTCATGTCTGATGAGGAGATTGAGAGGATCAAGGAGATCGCGAAACCCAAAGTAGGTATCTCTGCAGTTTCTTCTCGGGTCACTCATCGCTGGTACCATGGGGCAGTTTGTTTGCTTATCCAGCTGGACTTTGCTGATGTCTAGCACGAGTCTACTGTCAGGGTACTGAGGTACTGCAGATTCAGTTTGACTTTGTGGGTTCATGGTCCGGTGGGGAAGAAAATTGAGGGAACCAATGTGGACAGCCAAGTGCTATGATAGAAGGACACACTGGGAGCAGGGCAGGTCCACAGTGAGAAGTGTCAGCTCACCTGGTTGGCAGGCTGGTGTGTGGACGATTTTTTAGGAAGTATGCCGTAGGGTGCTGCAAAGCTGGGTCCTGTGGAACTCCTGATTAGGATTGCAAAGAAAGTGATTGACTTGGAGGAGAACGAACATCCTTACAACCTTGAGTCTTTTCATCCTCGAGCACTCCAGGTCTCTCCATTTATTCATATCTTTAAAAATTTTCTTTATATAAGCCCTGCACATTTCTTGTTAAGTTTTTTCCTAGGTAGTTTTTTTGGTATTGTAACTTCACTTTGTTTCTTTATATCTTTATTTGTTTCTTTATCATTATATTTTTACTGGTTACATTATTATATTAGTTTACTATTAAATGCTAAGCTGTTGATTGTAAAAATATATTTCATAGTAATAGCTAATATATTTCATAGTAGTAGCTAATATACTGAGTTCTTAAGTGTGACAGGCCCTGTTCTACGTGATTGACATATATTACCTATTACATCTATTAAGCAGGCTGTCATTACCTTCATTTTACCCACGAGGAGACTTGTGCAGATCACAGCTAGTTGTTGAACTCACTTATTCCTCTTTTGGTTTTTAGCTGATTCTCTTGGGTTGTCCAGATAGTATTATCACCTGCAAATAAGGAAAATTTTGTTTTCTCCTTCCTAATAGTTATAGTTCCTTTGTTTTTATTGTCTTGTTGAACTGCCCAGAACTTCTAGAGCATTGTTACAATAAGCATTGTCTTATTCCTGCGTTTCCTGGAAATTCCTCTGGTATTTCTCTGCTAAGTATGCGGTTAGTTGTTAGTTTTGTATGTGTGTCATCATGTTATAAAATTATTCTTCTATTTCTTAGTTCATAAAAGATTTGCTCCCATTTGACATCTTTCGAAGAGAACTACTTGTGCCGTGTCCCCACCATTCTCCTATCACTGGTGATTAGGAGGGAGGATTTAGCTGGATCCTCTATTACTGTGCTTCTAATAGAATTGTAGTGACCAGGAGACCCAGTAGGTTTCTATCCTGGCCCCTGGACCTCATCTTGGAGTGACCTTGGCTTGAAGTACTAGGACATCTAGGGCTCAGAGTCAGTTGTTGATATCATTGATGTGGCTGAGGGGGGGTCTAGCTAGTGTGTGTGGAGAATGGGGTCCAGGATCTCCCCCTGTCTACTCCCTATATCAGCTCCAAAGTCCTCCAGGGAAGAAAACTGCTTTCCTGGTTGCCAGGTGAGAGAAGCACTGTTGTACCAGAACCTCCTGAGAGATTCCTCACTTATCCTTTAGACCAAAGCACTGAAACATTTCTCTGTGCGTGTGTGTTCATGTTGGGTGTGTGCGTGCACATGTGTATGGCAGGGGCGGTGGGTGAGGGGAGTGTTGGGAAAACTTGTCTTTGAACAGAAGCCATGTGAAGAGCCAAACATATTGGCTATTACAAGCTGACCTCTCCTTTCCGGAGCTTGTGAGGGACAGATGCTATTCTGTCTTTGAAGTAGGGCCAATGAGCTTAACTTGGCCTGTGGGGAATGCCCGGCAGCTGCCTATGGATCCCTGGCCTGCTTTCAAAATAGCCCTGTCTGTCCCCTAGAGCAGAGCACAGTTGCCCAGAACCTCCTTGTTGCCATCAGGCCAGCACCGAGGCTCAGATGTTTGGATGAGGTCTAGCTGTGGCTGCAGTTGTCATGAGGGAGGAAGTGTAGATAGAGCTCAGGGAAGCCCTCTGTCCTGGGTGTACTACCATCTTACCTGAACATGCTGCAGCAGCACAGTGTCCAGGTTGGTTCATCTCCCCTCCTGACCAGACTTCTGGTCCATCTCCTCCTCTCCATCCCTTCTGCTGCCTGCTGCCCAGGCCACCATCACCTCTTGCCCTGACCCCTGCCTTGACCTCCTCACTGGCCTCCTTGTTTTCACTCTGGCCCTTCCTGAGTCAGCTTTCCATGAGATGTCCACAGTGATCCTTCTTACGTTCAGATTGTGAGTGTCTCTGCCCTGTTTGTAAAGCCTTCATTGTTTCTCATTGGCCACAAGGTTGCATCCAGGCATAGCCCCCACAGCCTATTCTCATCTCTTATCTCTAAATTCTAATCCATAGTCATGGTGCCATACCCATTTTCATCCCTGGGCTTCTGCATTGCTGTTTCTTCCCTGTTTCTGTAATGTTCCCCCACTTGGCTAACTCCTACTTACCCTTCAAGTCTCAGTTGGTGGTTCCCTCTTGTAGGAAACCATTCTTGACGCTATAGACGGAGCTCCCACAGACATTAAGCTTACCCCACTCCCAGCTTGTACTGTGCTATGCTGCAATTGCCCAGCTATTTTTCTGCCTTCCCCACTTGACTGAGTTGTATGAGAGCAGGGGCCATGTCTCTGTCACCCAGCATGGTGCCAGACGCATAGTAGGCAATCATTAGGTATTTATTGAAATTAAGGGGAAGTACAGTTGGAGTGGGGGTATCTGGGTCTATGGTCCCACCCACGTGAGGTCATTAAGACAGTCCACAGCTGAAGCACTGGGGGCTGGCTCTGGGAAGCAGGTCCTTCCTAGGAGTATCACTGTGCCTTTCTGTGGAGACTGTGGGGAGATGAGGTAGGTGAGGAGTGTGTGTGTGTGTGTGTGTGTGTGTGTGTGTGTGTATGAGCATGTATGAGGAGGTGGGTGACTTCAAAGGGAACAGTTCACTTATTTCAACTTGTCGAGTCCTTTCCTGATTGTATCATCTGCCCTTGCGAGGCCTCTAAGGGAGTTAAAACTGTGCCTCCTGTGTTTGCTCCTTGCAGCAGTGGGAGCCCAGTGTGAGCTGGTACAGCAGGAGGGTGTTTGGGTAGGTTTCTTGGCAGAGGAGGCTGCTGAGGTTCAGAAGAATGGTGGACTTGACCAAGTTGAGAGGAGCATGCGAGGTTGAGGCTCAGAGATGGTGGCACAGTCTGAATGTGGTGGGAGCAGCCAAGCACAGGTTGTGCTCAGGCAGGGGTGGTGCCTGGGCCTGGTGAGAAAGGGGGCTGTTCAGACAGATGGGTGGATGGATAAAGCAGACTTCATAGGCATAATTCTGCAAACAGCATGGACCTGGGTGGGAGCAGGGGCAGGCAGTGACTGAGCAGGGCAGTGGCCAGGGTCTGAGAGCAAGCAGGAAAGTGGAGGCCTCAGACTACTGCCCTTGCTTGCAGGATCATGGTGCCTTGGCTAGGGCCACTTTCTGCAAAGCATCTTTCCCCACTGGCCTGGCTGGCAGATCTGGTCTCAGTCTCTTCAGAAAAACACTCAAGGCAAAGAAGGATAAGTTTGCCCCCTCTTATTGCCTTTCAGCTTGCACGAGCCACTGTTCGTGATCCCAAGACAGGCGTCCTCACTGTCGCCAGCTACAGGGTTTCCAAAAGGTTAGCAAAAGTGGTGGTGGTAGTGGTGGGGGTGGGGGTGGGGGTGGGGGTAGGGTGGTGGCTCAAGCCCCAACTCCAGGACTTCCCAGTCCCTACCCAAGGGAGGATGGCTTGGTTAATCCTGTCTCCTGGCACCTCACCCACTTGGAGAACTCACCCTGTGCTGCCTGTTAGTGCTGGCCCTGACTCTGGGGAGAGGGTGCAGGACCTCATCTAAGCCTGCTATCCCCACCTTCCATTCTCTCCCTTTTCTTTCGTCCCAGCTCCTGGCTGGAGGAGGATGATGACCCTGTTGTGGCTCGAGTGAATCGTCGGATGCAGCACATCACAGGTCTAACAGTGAAGACTGCAGAATTGTTGCAGGTATGGCTGGTCCCTGGGAGCCTGAGGTTGGGAGTGGGTATTTCTGGCTAGACGGTCTCCCAAGGTGCCCAAGGCCAGGCCTAGGGAGTCTTGCCCAATAAACTGTATGACTGCACAGTGCTATGAATATGGAGTGACCTCACATTGGGAAACCAGAATTAAGCATGCCCGCCATCCTTTAACAGCATTCAACAAATATCGATTGAGTATCTTCTGTGTGCCCAAGTATTATGCTAGGAGCACTAGGGATCAGTGGTGGGTGTAGCAGGCCCATTCATGTCTTCTTGACTCCAAAAGCTGATATGCTAACTTGTTCTAGGGACACCTCTAAGAGACTTATAAATATCTTCAGCGGTCGTGGGTCTGAGTCATAGTCAAATGCACTTGGAGATAAAGTGTTCTGTGATACATTGGTAGGAGAAGTGAGAGGTCTGGACCAGTTGGCTGGTGAAGGTGGAATATTCTTTTCGAAGTACCCTCTATGGAACGCTGGCTTCCTGCCTTTATTTGAAAGGTGATTGTGAAGACACATGGCAGCACCATGCTGAAAAGTCTTGGGTAAAGCTCCTAATAATATGTCCTCTGGTTTTTTGAGTTCAAATCAGCACTGGCTATGCTCCCTTCTGAACATCAGAACTTCTGGGTTCTCTTGTAAAGTGATGACCTGAGACACTGCCAGAGAAGTTTCACTGGCATTTTTCTAGAGTCCCTCGGATCTGTCTGTTTGGCCATAGTTTCTGTGTATTTAAGAATCACACCCTTCACCATTAGGCTTGGCATTTGCGTCTGATCAACCCAAGACCTTATTAGAATATTGAACTGAAGATCATTTGGAAAAGAGTCTGTGAACTTTGCCTGGACACACCCAAGCAAATCATCACTCTTTTTTTCCCCATAGCTGTGTCAGTAATCATAAAACCACTTTTGAAGGTCATCTTTATGGATTTGTGTGAAGTCCACCAGAGTTTTTAAAAACATGCTGATTACCTTACAAATAGTCGTATGAAATTTTATATAATCTTTTCAGTTCAGCTAAACTTAGTGTTCTTTAATTTTTGAGCAAGTTCTGCAGATAAGCACAGTGATAGAAGACTTCTGCCATATCTCCCACTTCCTTCTTATTGTGAGAACATCACCATTTCAAGAGGAATAGGGGCTCTCGATGCACTAGGTGCATCCCTGTTGGCATTGTTGTGATTCATATCTTCCTGGAGCAGGTTTTTCCTTGTTGTTAAGACATCTGCCACTGCTTCCTGCACATCAGAGCCAGTGTTAGGACTCTTGTGGCCCTGATCGAGGATGACAGGCTGCTTGATTGGCTGATTCCATACCCTGGACCAGGGGGCTGAGAAGAGTGGATAGGACCTATGCCCCTGTTGCTCTCCTGGCTGGCTTCCCGGCCTCACCCTCTGCACCCTATCTCACATGCAACCCCAGAAGACAGTAGCTTCCTGCTTAGACTGGCTTCTCTGCCACAACCCTGGCTTCATCTTATCTTGCCTCTCATCATATTGTTGCCCAATTGATGATGGGGATCTGAATGCCAGAACTCTCAGTGGAGGGGCTCTTATAGTCAGTGGTCTTCTGGAATACCAAGACCACAACTGCCAGGGGGCTGAGACACCATTTTTGTTTGCTTTCTTCCTCTAGGAAGTGTCTTGGCACTTCCTTTGCCAATCAGCAGTGTTGAAAGCTTTGATCCAACATGGTCTGGGAGACAGAAGCCTGGGTTTCAGCATCTGTCTTTAAGTGCTCATTCCACATGGACTGCTTACAGTGTGATAGATGCCCAGGCACCAGCAACAGCCTTCACCCCAGGGTCCCTACGGGAGCGTTACAGGCTTCTGGAAAGGAACTGCTTCTTCTGCTACGTGTTGATACTCTTTTGGCTGTAGTTTATATGTTTGCTATAGATTATTTAGAGGAAAAAGGGCAATTGAGGCTTTCTTGTGAATTGGATGAGGGCCTGTCTGATAGAGGAAGAGATGCTACACTGCCAGAATTTTCTAAGATTGCAGACACTTCTGACTTGATGACTCAGCCTCACCAGAAATGTAATTTCTAACCATTTTTTTTTTGCCTTCACTATGACTCAAGCATCATAAATACCCATGTCTTTCAAATGACTGACTCTTCTACTTTTGTAACAACAAATCTGAAGATTCAAATGAATACCTCCTCACAGGAATCAATTTTGATGTACAGTTGCTTGTTAAAAGTGTGAGTCTGGGGCCTGGAGTTTGCTGAGATGGTGAATCTGCTGCACATCCAGAAGTTCCCATGACACTTGCACTGTTTGGACACTATTTAAGTGTAGGTACAGTAGCTTCAGTACCATGATCAAATGTGATTCCCAAACTGTTGAAAGAGGAGCCAGCTATAGCAATGCAGCATCTTTCACTACCTGAGATCTGAAAGTTTAAGCACTACATCTTGACAATGGGAGTGTTGGAAAACGCAGTCATACTCTGCACCTCCAGCAATAGGCAGTGATTGAATTTTCCTAAGTGCATTGGCACACTAATCACAGTCATGTTTAAAATTTTCTTCAAGTTCTTGACTAGAGTGGATCCAGAGAAAATGTGTTTGTAATATCACTTCATCAACTCCTCTAGCACTTCCCTCCTTAGTTAGATGTACCTCCAGCCTTAGGGCCACCTGCTGGACCAGGCCTCCTTGCACTGTTGTTGGGATTTTCCAGGTATTTTTGATGTGGGAATCTTGAAGGCTGAAGCAGTGTTTGACAGCATATTTTCATCCACTGATTCTTCATATCAGATTTTTTATTTTTGTGAACACTGAAAATCATGCTGCCCAAATTCTGCACTTCATCACATTTGATAAATGTTGTTTTTTCCTCCAACAGGAGGATTTCCTCTCTTATAAAATCTACTTTCTCTCCTTCATGTCTATAGATCTTCATTATTGCCAATTTTGCAGCCTCTCTCAGCTGACTGTTGGAATCACCAAAAAGGATATACAAAAGACACCCAACTTTCTGAGGACTGATAGCTGAGCCTCAAAGGTTTTTAGGTTTTCAGTCAGACGCAGTGGCCAGGTGTTCCCAGATGGACATTGGTGGTACCACTCGATCCATCAGCTTCCATATCAGATTCTGCACTTTATCTTGAACTTTGTCTCTCATTCTATCTACTGAAACTAAAATAATCATTGTGATTTAGGACTTACATTGTGCTGATAAACTGTTCACAAAGGCATTTGCAGTTTCTAATCCAATTAATGATGCCTGGTAGTTGCTGAAACTGAGGCGCCCACTGGGGGTGCCAAGGTAGAATAGCAGTTCTTGGCTGCCCTGCAGCCAGCCATCTGTGTCCTGCTACTTCAGTTGGATGCAGAAGTCCTCCATACAGTGGACCACTGTGGGATGTGGTGGAATATGTTTGTCCTGCTCAGCCTGATCAGGAACAGCTCCTGGGGCATGGTGACAGAGGTGGCAGGAGCAGTGCCAGGCACTGAGTAGCTCCCAGACTAGCCTTTGAGGAAAAAAAAAATCCCAATCTAGCCTTTGAGAAAAAAGAAATCCCAATCTTGAGTTTGTCGTTGGCGTTCCTCTGGGTTACCTTTTCATTATCTCCCAAACAAACAGGGCCCAGGCCAGGGCCTGCCTCAAGAAGGGCTCCCTCTGCTGTCATCTGAGTGTCCCTGAAGGGCTGGAGCTTCTCCACAGTAGCCATCTGCAGGTTGCCCATCTTGCTCTGTTTGGGAAACCACATTTGTGCTACAGCCTTATCCTTGGACACAGCTGTAGACATGTTTGCAGCATTTGCTCTGCCCACACTGGCAGGGCATAGCTACCCTCCACCTCAGAGAAGCTGCTCTTGGGTGTTCAGGTTGTTCTGGTTGTTACCTAGGGAGACGGTATCTCTGGGAATATGGGCTGCTTCACGGCTGTTAATGCTGCTGACATAGTCCAACATTGTTGTTTCCCACCAGGTTGCTAATTATGGAATGGGAGGACAGTACGAGCCACACTTTGACTTCTCTAGGGTAAGGCCTGAGTCACGGGTGCTTTCAAAGGGCCTGCTCTAGCTGGTTTGAGAAGGCTAGAGCTTCTAGGAGCACTTCAGCCTGCATATCAGGGCCCCCTGCCTCACCAGGGCCAACTTTGTTACTGGAGAAGCCCAAATCTGGAACCATGGGCCCTGTGGAGCCCAGTGCAGCCTGGCTGTTTCCCTTGTGATGTGGGGAGTTTTTCCCCTGCCCCACCCCTGTCATTCTTTGCCCTCACTCTAAAGCAAAGGACCTCACTAGGTCTTTGTGAAAGCTGTTCTTGTCCCCCTTGCCCCATGCCCTGGCCAGGGTTTCCTTTGCAGTCTTGGCCCATGGTCTGGGCTGATGTATGGAACATGCACTTAGTACCTTCCTCTGACCCTTTTGGCCCCAGTCCTGTGGGTGGTGGGTAAAGTCACTTGCAAACTTGGGTGAAAGTTGTTGTTTGTTGCAGCGACCTTTTGACAGCGGCCTCAAAACGGAGGGGAATAGGTTAGCGACGTTTCTTAACTATGTAAGTATTGGGTCCAGGCCCACCTGTTCACTCTCACTTAATTTTATAGAGCCATGAGCAAGATGCTTTCAAGCGTTTAGGGACGGGGAATCGTGTGGCCACATTCTTAAACTACGTGAGTATGATGTGTGCAGCATATGGGCCTTAAGGGGAGCCTGGGTCCAGAGTGCTGTCTTATATTCACTCCTGTCAGGGCTGATAGCACCAGCTATTGCTCAGTGGCTGGGCCCTTCTGGCCCTCAGCACCCTTCTTGGCTGGAATAGAGAGTTGGCCTTTGCTTCCATCTGCGTGCTCCCTCCCACCCCCATGACTTTCACATCCCTGGCTCCTTTTTGATGGGCCTGGTGCTAGTGTGGACTTTTGAGATGGTGCCCTGGAGGGTTCCCTCCTTGGCAGCAGAGTGAGGAGGTAGCCATGAGGTGCTCTTAGATGAAAGCTGCCTTTGTTTCCCCAGAGCTCGGTGGCCTGCCTCTCACTTGCTGCCTGTGCTACAGCCACAGGCTGTTGAGTTTACCTCTCACATGAGGAACAGTTTCCTCTCCCCTCTGCTTAGAGAGCCAGCTCTAAAGAGGCATAGAAGCTGTCAAATAACAGAGACAGAAGCCCGTGTCCATTTTTTCCTTTGGTGTCTCATTTGTGTTTTTATTATGTGGTTGTTATGTGTTGGGGACTGCCATGAACATGCTGGTGAGCAGGACATGTGTGGTCTTTCTCGTGAGGCTTACGGTCTAATATGAGAGACTTTAAACATAGGAGAGGTAATTATTTAGTTACCATGGTGACAAGTGCTTTGAAGAAGTAGCTCAGGGTTGGGGTTCAGAAAAGGCCTCCCCCTGGGAAGTAACATGTTACTTGAGACTTGAAGGTTGAGTGGAAATTATTTGGTGGAACATGGTTTCTGTCAGAGGAGAGAATGTGCCAGAGACCTGGAAGAGGGAAGGAACTTGAGATATTGGAAAAATAGAAAAAGGCTGATGTGGCTCAGAGTCAGTGCATGAGTCGAGAGTGGCTAGAAGGAGAGGCTGGTGAGACTGACAGGCCTTTGGGTGCTAGGAAAGAGCCTGGATTTGATCCCCAGGGCTGTGGGAAGCCATCAAGGGTTTTCATCTTATTCATTTGCCCTATATCTGTGGAGTGCTCTTCAGTCTGTCTAGTATGTGTCCTGTGGAAATATTTTTTAGCTCCACATTTTATTACATTATAGGCAAAAAACTTGAATTAAGAGAGCCACATGAGAAAGAAGTGGTGCTTTGGGCATGAATTGAGGCATGCTCTATATGGGCATGAGTGCAGCCTCGCTACCAGGGAACTTGTGTTCCATTTAGTTTGAGGTCTCACCGTGGGAGAAAGCAGGGTCTCTGGAGACACAGTGCCCTATCAGCCCACCCAGCTGGCCCTGGGGAAGGTGGCTATTCTGGAAAAGTGAGGGTCTGACTAGAACAGCAAGTGACTAGAAACAGAGCCCACGGTGGGGGCCACAGATGGTGTTGGAAGCAGCAGGGAGCTTCTGGTCAGGGCAGCTCACAGTGCACAGTGGCTTAGGCAAGGCCTAGGCTGAATTGGAATACGAAGGGTGGGGGTCAGTCAGGCATTTTCCGAGTACAGACTCAAGACTGTTCCTATCTGAAGATAGCCAGGACGTGGGTCTCCTGCAGGCCTACAGCTCTCGAGCACCCACGGTACGGAGACTGTCCTGATGCGCTACATAGATTAAGCAGGGTTTAGGGAGGGGCAGGGCATGGGAAGAGCCTTTCATGACTGAAGGGCTGGCTGTGGAGCAGAACCTCCAAGCAGTGCCGTTCTTGCTCAGAGGAGAGTGATGCGCATATCTTGCCATGTCCTTTTTGGCTCAGTTGCTCTGAGAGCCTTGAGTAGAAGGTCCAAGCTCTATGCCTTGTATTCCCAGATGAGTGATGTAGAAGCTGGCGGTGCCACTGTCTTTCCTGATCTGGGGGCTGCAATTTGGCCTAAGAAGGTAAGTTCTGGTTCTTGTGGGTCAGAGGTTGAAGCAAGGCTCAGACCTTGTCCACGTTCCCCAGTCCCATTCCCTGACCTGCTTGACCATCACTATGAGGGGCCTTTGTCCCTTCCTGCCTTATCTTTGACCTTGTGGCCTCAGCTTCCCCCTGGGGAGATGGGATGGGGAGGGAAGTCCCTTCAGAGGCAGCTGGGTTTCCAAACATCCACCCCACCGTGAAGGATAGGTGCTTTCTGGTAACTTCTCTATCACTGGAGTCCCAGAGCCTGTCTACAAGAGAGTCCTACATGTGGGAAAGTGAGGGTGTTTCTGCTCAGGGAGGGCTCTGTGGTGCTTACGGTCAGATTTTCAAGCCTAGTCTAAGGATGTTGTCTTATAGGTCATCTCTTTTCCCTAGGGCACAGCCGTATTCTGGTACAACCTACTGCGGAGTGGGGAAGGTGACTACCGAACGAGACACGCTGCCTGTCCCGTGCTTGTGGGCTGCAAGTGGGGTGAGTGGCCTAAGGTGTGGTGTTGGCTTCTGTGGTCGGCCTTAGATTCTGAGCTGGGAGACAACTGCTGCCAAATTCTCACAAAGCCAAGAGTGTCTTCCTTTTTGAGGTTTTTTGTTTTTCAGCTGTCCACCCAGCTGGTTATGTGTCAAGACAGCTAGTTGGGAACACTCTCAGAGATGCGCAGAGAACTGAGGCAGCCCTAAGGAAGATCTCTCAGAGATGACCAGAGAGAGGCAGCCCCAAGGAAGAATAGCTACACAAGCATCATAGTTCCACGATGGCTCCCCAGAGGAGTGGACTCTGGCAAGGGTTCTGAGGGAGCAGTGGGGGAGAACTGGAATCAGAGAGGGGAAGGGGTGTTCCAGGCAAGCAAGGCCCACATGGAACAAGGCACAGGCTAAAACCAGCATCACAGGTGTGGGGATTGGCTGCCTTTGTCACTTGGATAAAGGGAGGCCTGTGGCACAGGGGCCAAGAGATGAGGCTCGAGGCTGGGACCAAACCACAGAGGCCGAAGCTTGAGCTTTGTTCTGGAAGCAGCTGTGGTGAGCCATGGAGAGGCTTGAGTCAGGATGTGACAGGAAGTGATTGCAACCCTCCTGGAGAGTTTCGGGGATAAATATTGATAGGTTCACAGAAAATTAAGCAAATGAAAAATAAAATGAGACAATTGCTGACCTCAGGGAAAAGAACAAGTTGTATAAGAAATGTCTGTATACTCTACTAGGTGGCTTAGGTGTGAGCAACATTTATGTGACATAGTAATGTAAGGACCGAATATAAAACTTGTGATTTAACTCTATTGGGAAGATAGAAAGGCATAAATGTGTGTTTTAGGAGTAGTATAAAAGAATTCCAAAATCAAAAGTCAAGAAATAGCACTACAAGCATGTTATTTAGAAATAGGAGGTTGACTATCAGCAGAAACAACTAAAGGAGTTGAAAGTCCTCTGGAAGTGGGGATTGGCAGTGGGAAGGGATAGGTAGGAAATTTCTGTTTATCATTATAAGCTTTGCAGAGAATTTGATTTTTTCAACTAGGTACATGTATTACTTTAAATTAAATTATATTTAAAAAGCTTTATGACTTCAGCAGTTCATTAGAATAAATTTGTTTTATCATTGTAAAAGTCTATTTTTGAGGAATAAAATCATGGTTCATGTGCATTTGAGACATAGCTTTAGGTGACAGACAGTGCTAGCACCAGCTCTGACGCTCTGCTACCCACAGCACACAAATTGGATCTGCAGGCCATAGCTCCTGAGGTTGACGTCCAGGCTCTCCACAATTTGACAGGCTTCCTCATCCTTATCTCCTGCCTCTCAGTTCCCACCTGTCACATCAAGCTACTTGGCGTCCTTGACACACACCAGGGTGGTTCATGCCTTGAAGTCTTTTTCAACCTGTTCCCATTTCCTGGACCCCCTTGGTATAGGAAGCATCATGGTCTGTCCATTTTCCTTCCTGCATAACTGCTATTCAGCTTCATGTCCCAGCCCTGGGGTCACCTCTTCCCCCACATGGTTAGATGCCTTTTGGCTCTGTTTCCATGGCAACCTACACACATGTATCTTGTGTCATTGGCAGACTTTTGTACAATTGTCTGTTTATATATGTCTTCCACACCAGCTCATGAGCAACTTGAGGCCTGAGACCATGTCTTACTCGTGTCTGATTCCCAGGGCCCAGTGCAAGAGTCATCATGAAGTCGTCATTAATTTTGGCTGCTGAATTAACCAACAGGATTGTAACATAACTTTCTATCTGTTCACAGTCTCCAATAAGTGGTTCCATGAACGAGGACAGGAGTTCTTGAGGCCGTGTGGATCAACAGAAGTTGACTGACATCCTTTTCTGCCCGTCCTCTTCCTGGCTCCACATCCCATGTTGTCTTCAAATTCAATGTGACAGACACCTTTGTATGTTCCAGCCTGTCAGGCGGGTCTTTGGAGGAGTGAATGTTTGTCTGGAGCAGAGAGAGTGGACTGAGGAGGGTCCTGGGTGACCTGGGCCCCAGCCTCCCTGGTCAGCCTGAGCCATCTCTGGCCGCAAGGGTAGGGTCCAAGCGGCTGCAGCAGAGTCAGGCTGTCTAGCACCTAGCAAGGTGCCTTTGTACCTCAGATGCTTTAAGTGTGAGATACTTCAATGAACCAAAGTTTTGATACCTTGTTTACATGTTTGTTTTTATGGCATTTCTATTAATGTGGCTTTAACCAAAAAATAAAATGTCCCTGCCAGAAGCCTTAAAGAGCCTTATTTGGAGTATTTTTTAAGATGGAGGAGCTTTTACCAAGTTCTCCATTTCCTGTGCATCTCCTCTGTGCAGGCAGAATATAGGTTATGAATACCTTAGTGGCAAAACTCTGACCTTGGGTTCTAGATCTGATTTCAACACTTAACATCTCTCCAAGCTTCAGTGTCCTTTCTGGAAAGTGTGAGAGTCCTTCCTTGCCTCCTAGAGAACATAGAAATCATGTATGTTCGTCATTGTGGTGCTGTTATAATTTGAAATTTCTTATTTTTGAATTCGAGATATACATACAGAATTGTTCATGATACATAGTTGTACAGTTTAAAGAATATGAAGGTGAGCATGAGCACCCATGTCACCACTACCCAGGTTAGAGAAGAGATCATTTTCAAATCTGCAGCTCAGGAGCCCCTCGTGAGCCCCTGCTGGGTCCTTTCTCCTGCTCTGCCCCCAGCACCTTGGTGGTGACCATTGTCTAATGGTAACCATTGTCTAGTGATTTGTGGCAGTCATTCCTTTGCTTTGCTTTATATTTTACTGTCTGTGTCTACATCCTTAAATAATAGTTATTTTGTTTTCCTTGATTTTGAACTTTTTGTAAATGGAATCAAAGTATTTTTTTGTCGGGGGTGTTTGGCTTCTTTCATTCAACAGTTGTTTTTAAGATTCATCCATGTTGTGTAGCTGTAGTTTGTTTTAATTTGTATAGTTCTTTCAGTTTTGTTAATGTATATTGTAGGGCAATACTATAATATAGCCAATATACTATTGATAGACATTTGACTTGGTTTCAGTCTTTGTGTATTATGAATAATGCTGCCATTTGCATTTTTATATGTGATTCCTGGTGCACATAAACACACATTTCTGTAGAATATATATCTAGAAGTAGAAATGCAGAGTCTTAGTAGGTGAGTCTTCAGTTTTACCATATACATAATGTACTCCAGAGTGGTTATGCACATTCTGACCAGGATTAAGGGAGAGTTCTTGTTATCCCAACCTTCTCTAATATCTGGTATTGTCATACTTTTGCATTTTAGCTAGCTTGTTACATGTATAGTAGTATCTATTTTAACATGATTATTAATGATATTGAACACCTTTTTGTATGTTTATTAGTGTTTAGCTTTCTTTAAGTGTCTATTTAAGTCTTTTTCTTACTGATTCATAAGAATTTTTAATATATTATGGACACAAGCTTTTTGTTGGTTATGTTTTACAAATATCTTTTTTCTAGTTTTTCACTTAGTTCTATTTTTTGATGAACAGCAGTTAATTTTTATGTCAAATTTATCAAGCTTTTCCTTTTTGATCTGTGCTTTTTATGTCTTAAGAAATTCTTCTGTACTTCAAGATCATGAAGATGTTTCTATATTCTTTTCTAAAAGCATTATAGTCTGGTCTTTTACATTTATGTCTATAATACGCCCGGGTTTTATTTTTGTATATGGTATGAGGTGCAAGGATCTACCCAAAAAAATTCTTTCTGCATATTTTATTAGGATAGGATAGCCTTATGCTAAAGTAATAACCCCTAAATCTCAGTGGCTTACTATATAAAACTCTCTCATGAAAAAAAATCACTGGGTCTAGGGCAACTGCTACTTATCTACTGCCATCTATCGCCCTCTAGTGCCTTCCATTGGCAGAACCTAACAGGAAGCCAGCTGGTAGGGGAATCTGGAAAATACAGTATAGTTACAGATTCGCAACTCCAGTACAACGGCAGAGTATAGCAGGATGAGCTTAGAGCTGAGAAACAACAGAACAATTACTGGCATGCTAGGTGGTTTTTTTTTTTCCCTCCATTTGCTTTTGGGCTTCTCGAATATGTACAATAGTATCTTTAATCAGTTTTGGAAAATTATTAAATCACTTTCAGTATTTTCTGTGTACTTTTTGGAATGTAAATTAGAAGATATACTATTCTTATCTCTAAAGCTTTCATATTTTTTATATCCTGTATTTTTGGGTAATTTTTACAACTACTAGTTTTCTAATTCTCTCTCCTATTAAACACATCTAGGAGTTTTTAAGTATTTTAAAGATGTAATTCCATTATTTTCTGGCTTATACCATTTCTGTTGAAAATTCAGCTATCTTGTCTTTTTGTTGCTCCTTTGAAACTGTCTTCCCCCCACCCCCTCCCTGCTGTCTGCTTTCTAGGATTTTTCTTTGTTTTGGTTTTCTATAGTTTTACTATGATGTACCTCATGTGGGTTTCTTTTTATTTTCCAGCTTGGAGTTTACAGAGCTTCTTGAATTTGTGGGTTGATGTCTTTGATCAGTTTTGGAAATTTCTCAGACATTATTCAAGTATTGTTTCTGCCCCATTTTCTGTCTCTCCTCTCTTTTTGGGACTCTGATAATCTGGATGTTAAAACTTTTCACTGTGTTTCATGTCTCCCACTCTTTTCTGTCTCTCTCATCCTTTTTCCCCCCTTGCACTTCAGACTATTTTCTATTGATCTGTCTTCCAGTTCACTTATCTCTCCTGCTGCTAAAACCCATCTCCTGAGTTCTTAATTTCAGTTCTTCTATTTTTCAGTCCTAGAATATCGTTATTTTTAATAGATTCTAATTCTCTGGGGGAATTGATCTTTTGTTTTCTCCACGTTTTTCTTGAACTAATGAATCAGTTTTTTAGAAGTTCTTGTCTGATAACTCCATGATTTAGATTTTCTGTTTTTTTTCCCTTGGTTTCTGGTCATTTGGTCCACTCTGTTGGTATGCCTGATAATTTTTGACTGAATGCTGGAGCACTGTAGCAGAGGCTCTGGATAGGGTAACTTCTTACACAAGGAGTTCATCCTTTCCTCTACCAGGCAGAATGGGGATTGATCACCTTAATCCAATCAGGGCCTGAGTCAACTTAATTAAGGCTGGGTTGCAGTTTTCTTCAGATTCTACCTCTTATCCTCACTTTCTCCCCTATAGGATATAGTCCTCCAGGGGTTTTCCAATTGAGAGCCTAGAGTGTTCACTGGCTCTGTCCCTACTGGCAGTTCCGCAGCTCTAATCCTTGTATCCATGGTATCTAGACATGGCCCTGAAAGTTCCTTTTTCTTTTCGGAGGTTTTCTGCCTAGCTTCTTAACTTTCCATTCTATACACCTTCAGAATTCAGAAAATGTCCTAATGGGTAAACAGGCTGAGTGGTTGACTAAGCTCTCCACTCCTCCTTCCTATTCAATATTCTAACAAACTGCAGTCTAATTTTTGTTTCTCAATGCCCCTTGAGACTGCCTAGAGCTCTACTGGTTTCTCTGCCTCTTAGCAGTTACCCATTGTTGGAGTCCTTTATCTGGGTCCTGTCTCTTACCCCATGTCTAGAATCAGTAAATGATCTAAGGATAAAAGAGGCTCTAGACCTGAGGCTCACCAGCCTGAGATTCATCTTTCCCCAGGATCTTGATGCTCAAACCCCTTTTGCTTCAGTAGTCCTTTGATGCCTTCAAACAGATTTTTAAGAGATTTTATCCAGCTTTAATGGTTATTTTTGACATGAAAGTTGCTACTCCATCTTAGCTGGGAGTGGAAGTGTCTTTTTCATTTGAGTTTTTAAAATTCATTTTCATGTGAAATAAGAGACAGATACAGAAAACCTTGTCTTTGGTATTTTCCTTTGTTATCTGGTATAACAAGATGTACCACATTCATCTTGAACGTTTCCTGCATTAAGCATGGTATTAACCATTGAGGAATCTGTTAGGTGCTGGTGGCTGCCTGTTAATCCCAGTGTAGTCTTTGAAACAAACACAATATAACCTCAGAGACAGGACACTGTTTACAGTAGTCTTTATTAACCTACTTCGCTTAGCATTAACATGTTCACTATGGCATCAAAGAGTTGAGCATTTCAGTGTGCACTTGATAGTGTGCTAGGGATGTTATAGTCTGTCATTTCAAACTCACAACTCTTTAGGTAATGAAAAAGCTGAAGGTCAAAAAGGTTAGGTCAAATGTACCTGAGGTCACATGAGGTCTCATTACTGGTTAGTGAAAGGCCTAGGAATCAAACCCTGATTTGGCAGCTTGCCAAAGACTTTGCTTGAAAAAAGTTAATTTATTTTCATCCATTCAACAGTTATTAAAGATCTGATGTGGAAGCAAAGATAAAATACTACCTTTACCTTTAATTCAGAGTAATGGAAGAGACTCATAAATAGATGTATGAAATATGAGAGGTCTGATAATAGAGAACCTAGTGCTTGAAAAGCACAGAGAGTGAGGGTCTAATTTAACCAGGGAAGTTGGCATTATAGTAGGCAACGTTAGATCTAGCTCTTGAAACAAGTAGAAATTTGCTTTCTCTGCTATCCCAGTTTAAAATACATGCACACGGCTTAAAAAATAAGGAACAGAATTGCTTACCATGAATAATTCTTCCCCACCCTACTGCTCTCCACCCCTAGTCCGCCTTCCTAGAGGAACCTCTTTCAATTATCTTTGTTTTTAATTTTTCTGACTATAAATCATATACTTAGAAAGTGCTATCTCTTGATTTTTCCACTTTAGTAATTTGAGAGATGATCATCTACCTATACTCACTATCCTCCATTACACTTCTCCCTCCCTTTGCCATTTTTTGATAGTTATATTATTTATAGTCCTATCTTGGTTGCCTGGTAACATAAATCTCCTTTTTGTTCTGTAAGCTTAAGGTAGCCTCTCTGACATTCTAGTATGTGAGATGAAAATCTATATTAGTGTTTGACCAAACAACTGGTCACCATAGTCTAGCCAAGCTGACATATAAAATTAACTATCATGTGCCTTTTTACCTCCCAACTTCTGTCAATTATACTTTGGACACTGTTTTAGAATCCAGGATTCTAAAAGTTGAAAAACCAAATACTGTGTTTCTTAATGTTGATGTAGCTATCATAAAAAGGAATCTGTGCCTTATTTGTCTAATAAAATTCAAAACAAATTTACAATGTGTATTAGTTTTCTAGGGCTGTCATAACAAAAGATCAGAGACTGAATAGCTTA